AAAATAAAACGGGCAAAGTTTCTTAATTTGACTAATACTGCAACATGGTTTCAGCATTTCACCGTTGTACGCTCTCCTTCTTTATACGTTCTTGATATTATAAAGAAGTTCTAAGCTAAGATAAGATATTATAGAGCAGTGCGGTAAGTTGGAGCAACACCGACTTTTTAATTGAAAGGCAAATGTGACCTTTGGGTTTAATCAGATATTTCAGTGTAGTGAGTGTACCATTCGTGCATAATTTGTGATATTTTGTGTGTAATGCCACCACATTTCTAATCATTGAATCATCGATGGTTCAGGTTGATGGTGCTTACGCATTGGTTCACTTTGGGCTGCTGGATAAAACTCCCACTGCTGGCAGTTCCTCATCGAATACAGACGACCCACTCTCCATACTGCAGGACTGCAGACTGTTACGCAAGGACGATCTTCAGGTATGGTGCCGACACTGCCGGCTACTGACACTAAATTCATATTGCTCGCAAAATTTGTTCTCTCGCGGTTTAATTTTGAGTAATTGCATCCTTGTCGACATTTCGAAGGCAAGCGAAGTGTGATGCTAAACCCTGTGTATAAGGGTCACTTAAAAGGGATGTGTAAAGTATCCTATATATACGTGATGGTTCTATAGAGGTATTTTCACTGCATAGCTACCACTCAAGGGCAGTGCGAAAAGTATTCTTGATAGACTGGTGTCCACGCTAGATGGGCGACCCGCTAACACAGATTTCACTGTAAAGTGGCGGGATTTTTTGATTGGAGGTGATCGACACGCGTCTTTGATCAAACATTGCAAGGTTCCCCACCACCCACTTCTATCAAACATCGCAAGGTTCCCCACCACCCACTTCTATCAAACATTGTGCGATTCCCCACCACCCACTTCTATCAAACATCGTGCGATTCCCCACCACCCACTTCTATCAAACATCGTGCGATTCCCCACCACCCACTTCTATCAAACATCACGCGATTCCCCACCACCCACTTCTATCAAACATCGTGCGATTCCCCACCACC